GTACAATGACACAACTTAATTGGAATTCTATGCTAGTCTTTCACAATACTTTTTGATAATATATGTTAAATTATTGATGTAATATAGGTCTATTTTAGTATTAAAAAACATAAAAATCATATTTTGGTATATATATAGAGTGTGTTTTAGTCCTAAACTACAAAAAACGCGGAATTGGCACGGCTTTTTGGCACGGACTGTAGTTTAAGTTTTTTGTGACTAAGGTATTAGGCACGGATTTTGGCACGGACACGAAACGCTGCCAATTTCGAAGCTCCAAACCGTATGGCACGGAAATCCAGTCCGTGCCAAAGATAGAGACGGCGTCACTCGTGACAAAATCGTTCCAAACTCACGGTTGTAAGAAAAACGTTAAAGATATTAGGCACGGATATGTCCGTGTCAAAATTGTGTTCTTACAAATATAACATAAGTCACGAATATATCCGTGCCTTTATTATATTTTGAAAATTTTCAAAATATTCAAAAATTTTAAAAAAATTCAAATACGCGGGGAGATTAAATTTCGAAATTCAAATATTTTGCCACGGACATATTCGTGCCATGGATTTTAAAAAATAAAAAAAATATTTTTTGTCACGGATTTATCTGTGCCTTAGATTTCAAAAAATTAAAAAAAAAAAATTTTGAAAATAAAAAATTAATAATACATAATAGGCCATAATTCAAATACGGAATAAATCACTCACAACATAATAATGTAGATTAATAAAAGTAATATCCATAATGAAAGTAATGTCTAGCATCCAAATGAAGATCATCACAGACAAATGTTAATGATGAATAATTACAGATTTTCATTGTTTAGAAAATTGTTAACACCACAGTTATTTGAATTGTGTCCTTCCGGTGGAATGTTTGGCATTTGGGGGAGAACCGCATGTTGTTGAAAAACAGGCATGGGAGAAGGCAAAACCCGCGGGAATTAAAGGTGCTCCTCATGACTTTGTCTGTGTCCGCTGGCAAAACCCCGAGCAACCATGTGTAACGAAGCTATAAATGTAATAAAAATAAATTAGTATTGAAATAAATTAGTATTGTGTTTAGGACAGCTTGTTGGCAAGAAAAAAATTAAAAAATCATACAAATAATATATGAGATAATAAAAAACAAAAAAATTACCCCTTCAATTTGGCCTTAGTGATCAAGCGCGGAAGATCCCCATACAGAACCGCACTAGCCTTCGTCGAAACTCTGTCTCCTCCTTTTCCGCCTCCTCCGCCCTCGACCTCGACCTCCTAGTCGCCACTGACATTGAATATGGACTGCGGGGTAGTGGTAGATTGCAATTTCGGTGGTGCTCGAGAGTGAGAACGCTGAAAGCTTCCCCTACCGTGAAGGCTACCGCGGAAGGAAGTGCTCCTTGCTAAAGACATTGAAAGGAGAAGGGGTTATGTGGGAGGAGGGCGGAGGAGGGATGGCGGCGAAGAAAGAGATAAGAGGAGGAGAGTGGTTAATGAAAAAAAACGAGAAAAACATGTAAGGGGTGGTAATATAATTAAACCGTAGGCACGGACGTAAGCACGTCCCCAACCGTGCCTATACCGTGCAGTAAATATCGGATTCTTGGGTAATGGTGTAGGCACGGCCGTTGTCGTACCAAATTTCAATATCTCTGCGTGTGTCAGGCTTTTTGTGTGAGATCCATTCTAGGCACGACTTTTTCCGTGCCTACTAGAGGGCATTAAACACGATAGTTTTTGGTAATTGCATAGACATGGCCCTGTCCGTGCCAAACAAAATGAACTCTTCGTTTGTAGGGGTGCACTACTAGCATGTCATAAAACGAATTTATTGGGCTTGTATGTAGGCACGGCGGTTTCCGTTCCAAAGTAAATGCCTCTGCAAGTGTGTCAGACTTTTGTCTAGGATCGAAATTAGACACGGCTATTTCCATGACAAAACAGTCTTGTCCTTTTCGATTTTGAATTTTATGAGAAAGGTAAGGAATTGGAATAACTAAATCCGTGCCTATTGGTTAGAATAAACGCCGTCCGACAACACCGTTAACTTCTTAACGTTTACGCTATTGGCACGACATTTGGCACGGAAAAATGCTAAGCCAAATTGAAACGCAAATAGAAACACGCCATGTGGCTACTTTCTTTTTTTGGCGTAGTCGCGGCATGTCCGTGCCTAATATTCCGTGCCAATTCCGGGAGTTTTTTGTAGTGCTAGTTAGTACTCCCTCGGTTTGTAAAAAAGCTTTCTACTTTGATTTGGAGCCAAAATAAAGAATTGTAAAATTATAGTTGACTTCCAATTTTGCCCCTGATTTGATGGGTAAAAGTGATATGTGATGGATTGATTATTAGAGAAAAAGTAAGATGTGATATATAGGGTATGAAAAAGTAAGGGTAAAAGTGGTTTTTTAATACAAAGTGAAAGTGTTTTGTTGGAAGTGGAAAAAATGAAAGAGGAAGTGTTTTTGAGAAAAGAAGGAGTAGTTACCTAGTTCTCTTGCTTTACAAACATGAAAACATATTCTTGATCAAGTGCTTCTACAATATGGACCTTAGGTGTACCTAAGAATGCCTAAAATTTCACATATAATTACCATATTACCAAGAAAGCAAACTAATTAAATATGTTACACAACATTATGCTATATAATAGGAGAATTTCCATGAATTATTAGGTGCACCTTGGAATTTACCCATCTAAAATGTTAAGTACATTAGAACTGTTAAATTAAGTCAAGACCTAAAATTGGTTCTTAGCGCATGCATTTATTAGAAATAGATTTTTTTTAGTTAATTAACAAATCTTTATGTAATGTAAAATGAAATCACCCACACGTGTGCACATACACGCCCGCACACTCACAAACACAGTTATATAGAATACACGCTATAAGTAGAAATACACGGAGAACTTAAGTTACAATGCGAAGAATATTTTACACACATCGGGATTGGTTCCGGTTAGAATGGTGCTTGGTGAAAGAAATAAGAATAGTACTCATCCATTGGGGATCAGGTCAGTTCCGGTTAGAATTTTTGTATCTTGTTCGTGAAAGATTTGGGTTTGTAATTGTCTAGGCATTAACATTAATAATGATATTTGGAATGCTATGCGTGGTTCGATCACACTAGGATTTGCATTTAGAGTGTTAAACTTTTAATTAAAAAACCCTACCCTTTTGTTCAAAAAAAAAACCCTACCCGTGGGTCTGGGTTTGTTAATACTCCGTATTATTTTCAATAGATTTAGGTGTAATTATGATGCATAAAATCGAATGTCATCTGTGATTGTGTGAAAATTAATAATAATAAATTTCTATGGAGAAAGTGATATTACAAATGCTTTATGACATGGATACAACACCTTTAATTTTTCTATACTTGAGCCTCCATTCTTTTTCATTTTAGATAATGGAACTATTTAATTTATTCATTGTATTGTGTTTGGTGTTATGTAAGTTGCATTCAGGGTTATTAAAGTTGCATCATAAGATGAATATTTTGTTTATCTGACATGCATTTAAAGCCTCAAGCCCCAAAGTTAGGTATTTAGTTTGTACTTTAAATGCGTTAAAATTGTGGTGGTCTAGAACAACGAATAGAGTGTCAGGTAAAATTAGTCATTTGCATATAAAGTTGAGATATACTATTCTAGCTCAAAAGCTTTAGCTGATAGGTAGGTAATGTATGGTTTCTTGGACCTAGGGTACCTAGACCAAGACTCCATTGTAGAGAAAGAATGAAGAAACCATGAATAGAGAAGAAGAAGAATGAACAAGATGAGTGCAATGTATGTATTGTGAATCTTGATAGAATTTAGGATGGGGTAGTGACAACTAGATTGGGCAAATAAGACACTTGGGTTGAACCACATTAAAAGATTGAATCCAATCGATTAGTTAGTTTAACTCAAGGGCTTATATACCGGGTTATTTTTCTCTTCAAGTTCCGATGTGGGATACTCTTAACACTCCCCTTCAAGTGGACAACCGGGCCATTTTGAATCTAACCGGTTGACCACTTGCAAATGAACTCCCATTCCATTGACTTTTTTTTTGAGCGCCAACACCTAAAGGACCATGAGCCGCTGGGTATGGACTTCCAGACGTGCAATCGGGTCAAACAGGCCACAGGCCGTTGGGTACATACTCCATACGGACAACTGGGCTAAACACTAACGGGTCGCTAGGAATGAACGTCTAGACAGACACCTTTACAAACGAGGCGGGCCAAAACCTGCTCCGATACCAAGATATAATTTGAGATGGGTATGGACAACTGGATTGGGTAATAAGACACTTGGGTTGAACCACATTAAAAGATTGAATCCAATCGATTACTTAGTTCAACTCAAGGGCTTATATACCTGGTTATTTTTCTCTTCAAGTTCCGATGTGGGATACTCTTAACATACGGACAACTAGGCTAAAGACAAATGGGCCACTAACGGGCCGTTGGTTCCTTGACAAATCTCATCATTCCTCTTCTAAGAGGAGATATAAATAGAGAAAATATGGTTAGAGTTCAGGCCCAACGTATATACAATAATTAATGGGCTGACCCAACAGATTGGGCCACCCAAATAACCAATCAATGCAGGATTAACGGGTCGGTACAAAACACTAGACCGTCCCAACTAACTCTATACAAAGACCGGATACTTCCATGTATATCTATCGAGTCCCACACTTTCTGAGTTGAGAGGAACTCGAGGCAAAGTGGAAGTAGAACAAAATCCATCATGGTAGGGCATGCGATTGACTCACTATCCGGAGTGCACTGCCAACTCGCCGTCCGGAGGATGGCATGTAAGACAAACTACGCCATTAGCATGAAATGCACTCTCAACTCACTGTCCAGAGTGGCAAGGTGAATGAAATTGCACCAATCAGTATGAAGTGTGCTGCTAACTCGCTGCCCGGAGTGGCAAAGTAAGAAAAAACAATACAATTTGCAAATTATTATTTTGAGTAACAAATGGAGTATTTAAGAAAAAAACAACACAATTTGCAAAGTATTATTTCATAAGTGTTATTAAGATGCTTTTTTTATTTGGATGTGAGGGAGTTGTTTTGAATTTTGACACATATGGATCGGAGTACCATACAAAATCCAACTCCAAAACTGAAGTAGAAACAACAATTCTAAGCTTCCAACGAATCAAAAGGTCTTCTCAAACATAACTTTGAATGGAACCTCACTCAGCACCAAAAACCGGGCCCCATTTTTCTGCACATAGATTCCCACGTCTTTGCAAACCACTTTGCAAACGTTGCAAACGGTCGGGCAAAACACGAACTTGTAATCGCTCCCCGCCTTCTCGATCTTGAACCAGCTGCTCAAAGTCTGCGGGCCCGGGTTCCCCTCGGCCCCGCCCGTCTTCACGAAGTACTGCTTCGACGACTCGTCGAGGCCGTCCATTTTCCACCCCATCCTCCGCGCGCAAATCGTCGGGGTGTAGAACCTGACGTTGAGGTCGGTCGACAAGGGGACGGCGGCGGTGGCGTTGACCGGGCTGAACACGACCGGAATGCCCTTCTGGACTTCACTCGCCTCCTGGATGATGTCCAGAGGGCATCCGAACGTGTTCGGTTTGGTGTTGGCCGGGTATAGCCCCCCACCACCGCCGCGGATCACCGGGAGGACGAAGTAGTTTGAGCCGACTATAAGCGGCTTGCCCTTCACGTCGAGGACGGCCGGTGATGCGGCGGCAGCGGCCGAAATGAGTGGTGGAGAGAAGAGGAGGGAAAGCACAAAGATTAATAAAACCTTCATTGTCATCTGATGGTTAATGAGCTAGGTAGTTGAAGTTGTGAATAAGTATATACTTAATTATTTATAGAATTGGGGAGGGAATTATTAATTATATTTATTGTTATCCATTTTGGGGATGGAGTTTATAGTTATGGGGGTGGGGAATTATTATTCTTATCCATTTTTTTGGAACTAAGTTTATTGTTGGGATCAATAAATTTGCAGAAAAACTTGACCAGGGAGCAAATTGAAAGGCCAACCTGTAGTTTTGGTTTCTAGTCTTTCCTACCACAGCCATTTTCCAATGCGCTGAGAACGAGTCCAGAATGGCGGCCCACCTTCACGTTGTTTTTGGAAAAATTATCTCAAATAATCACACCTTTTCGCGCTCTTTTAAAAATAATCCCACTTTTCACTCTCACCGGAAATAATCACACCTTTCTGCAAGTGTGCGAGTTTTGGGTCACCGTTAAAAAACTAACGGTCACTTAACAGAATTTTCGAAAAATGCCCGTTTTTCGCAAATAAATGAAAGGTGGGATTATTTCAGGAAATTTCTCTCTTTTTCATAATTTTAATTTCAAATTTTAAATTTAAATGTATTTTTATTTTTATTTTTTGCAAAAAATAATACCAAATTTAAATATTTTTAGAGTGAAACTAATTATTTTTCAATATTCGTTAATCTGGTAATAATTAGAAAATAAAGTATTCTACACAATAGAGCTAATTTATTTACTTCATAACTAACTACATTTTTTGTAAGTTGCATTTATTTTTTTTGAGTGACACTTCAAATTGTTTTTTGATACTATATTATTATTATTATTTCTTAAAAAAATGGCACTACAAAACTTATGAATATTTTTCGATAGTTCTATATAACCATTTTTCTCTGAAATGAAACTTTTATTTTTATAATTCACTACATTTTTTGATGTATTTCAATTTTTTCATGTATTGCAATCAATTTGTAAAACATTTTGAACATAAAATTTTAAGAACATATTTTAGTTATTATTACCACAAAGTTTTAAGAATAAAATTAACTTGCATATTTAATGACAACATCAATATTCTTCACATTAAAAAATAGCATAATTACTTCTCTGAAAACAATTGATCAATGAAAAAAACAACAGAAAATATAAGATCACTTTAG